GGGGGCGGTGGCTGCTGGAGCCACTGAGATGGAGGTAGAGGCATCCGCGGGCATGAAGCAGGAAGGGACAGAGAAGAAGGCTGTCGTCGACCCACTACAGGTCGCAGAGACAGCCGCAGCAGGCATTCTTCCAGGAACCAATGACCCTGGCCCTCCTTTAAGGGACAGCTCCTGATGTCCCACAATAGGGGCAGGGATGGTGGGAAAAACTGGTATCACTGCTGCTACAGGGAACGCTAAGCCGTGGTCAGGTTGCAGAGTGCTCAACTGTGCCTTTACTTTCTCCCATTTTAGCTGCGTGGTACCGAAAGCCTCCCAGTACGCTGGGTCCAGTCTTGGTTGGATCATTCTGTCACGTGCGGGCATTGACATAGCAGGAAGCAGGCAGGACCCAAATGCAGTACTGGTGCAGGTAGTTTATTTGAAGGTTCTAAATTCCAAAAACCAGGACTGAAGCATACACAAAGTCGAGCAGAGCTGAAAACACAAAGAGAGTTGAGCACAGCAACAGACTTGCTCATGAACAAACTAGAAACAGCTACAACAAAAAGCTCGACACAACACTGGCACGAAGGATACAGCGCTCACAAAGATAGCGCTCACAAAAACAGTCACTAACTTACACACTGACTCAATTACAATGATCCAATTACAATGATCTAATTACAATGATCCAACTACAATGATCCAACTACAATGATCCAACTAGAGCAGAGTGAAGGAGAGAGGTATATATACATAGGGAGCACCAGGTGACACAAGTGAAGCTAATTACAGACAGGTGAGTGTGATCACAAAGATTACCCCACACAGCAGGAAAAGGAAACAGACAGACATGACTGATTGTTTGCCAAAAAGAAATTCAAATTAAGACTATTATGAGAATAAAAATGAATAGTTACTTTCTTCACTCAATCCAGAAATAGTAAAAGATATTCACTAAAATATTGAAAATGTAAACTTACATAAACCCTTAAAGGAACAAATACTAACTATTATATCTAATATAATAACCATTATCACAACATAATTTCTCATAAATATAGTCTCTTCTCCAATTCAGCTCTGCATTTTGGTTTAAAATGTGCAACTAAAATCTTTTTTTGAAAATATATAAGTGCACTAGTACCAAGTTCCACACTTGAGGCAAGTCTGACATTTTAAAATGTTTCCTTTCTACATTTGTTAACAGTTGAACAGACCAACAAGTATTAAGCCCAAAAGTCTCAGACACCTGCTGACAACACAAATGACTGGATAAGTGGACACAGTTAATAAGGCTCATAGCAGCAAACAGTGATTGTAAAGGCTTTGTGTCTGTGTCTTGTGTCTGTGTACAGTATATGTGTGCTCAGATAAACATGTGCTGTTACAGCAGGTTAGGCTTTGCTTTGAAGAAAAAGAAAAGCACCATCACTTGTTCTCAATCAGCATTTGCACTTTACACACCAGATCTCAAGCAAGAGTCATAATCTGCTTTATGTTATGATGCTCAGCCATTTCTGAAAGACAAGAGAACAACACCCAAGGTCAGAAAGAGTTGAAGCTGTTCATTTAGTGTGAAATGTATTTATTAAGCCTGATCTAAATCTGACCATATTTGGCTGTCTACCAGGCCTGACGACACAGTCAGCTGTATAATTGGCATTGGTAGTTGCCAAAAAACATATCCTGTCAACATGTAAGTCCATTACCCCGCCTCGCTCTAAACGAGGGGTGTCAAACTCATTTTCACCGGGGGCCACATTAGCAATACAGTTCTATTTGAAGGGCCGGTTGTAAATGGAAGACTGTATAGATTAGGGGTCCCCAACCCCTGGTCCGCAGACCAGTACCAGTCCGTAGGTCATTTGATACAATGGAACACATTAAAAAAATGTACTTAATTTTTACTGATATACTTCATTCAAAGAAAACCCACTCATATCCATTTACTTTCCTTATTTAAGGATAATCTGGCAATATTTAAAAATAAAACTCATTCAGACTGATACAAACAGAATAGAGTCTAAAAGATGTTTTATTTTGAAAATTTAATGATCCTTCAATGCTCAGCACCTTGGTACAGGTCTGTACTAATGGGTGGTACTGGCTGACCAATCCTTGGAACAAAAAAGGGACCACTGGTATTGATGTAACTACTCCATAACAGACTAATACATGTTTCTGCAATTGATTGTCATTATTATTATTTGATTGATTATAAAAACTTAATTTCTTAGGTTAAGAAACTCTGCTGCATGGACTTTACTAAATGCTTTTTAAGCTCCCACGGGCCACATGAAATGGCTTGGCGGGCTGCATTTGGCCCCCGGGCCTTGAGTTTGACACGTATGCGCTAAACACTGGCTAAGCAAAATGTTATTAGTCCTCCATATGGATAAATTACACATGGAGAGTTACACTTCAGCAGAAAGAACATTCAAACCTAACTCACAAAGACAATAATTTTATTATTTTATCTAATCCATTTAATTTTTTTGTTCTGTCCTTACATTTATGTATAATAACGTGATTACTCTGTACATTTCATGCCTACCACTAATTTACAGTATACAGGAACTCTAGATTCTACACAGAACTGATTCCTCTCATGATTCAAAGTGAATCAATGGGTTAATAAAGATAAACTGTTCCAGGTTTCAATTTAAAGGCCAAGACGACCTTTTTCTTCACGGCAGTTATTTAGTCTGGACTGTAGTTTGAGACAAGCTGATAATGGTCAGAGTGACCCTCAAATTATTTACATGATGTGATGCATTTTACCATGGAAGAACTTAATGGTATCAGTGAAGTCCATGTTGGTCCCCAGGATGATGTCCCTGTAGATCTCCACTAGTGCCAGAGCGATGAAGAGGACAAAGTGACTGAAGGAGACGTGCTTAGCTGCCCAAATCGTTTCCCAGACTGAAAACACATCGTCGTACACCAGCTCTGTCAGAAAAAATAACAAAAAAGAAAAACATAATAAAACAGTAATTTTTAAATGCATATGCTAATTATTAAAAAAAAATCTAAAAAAAAGAGCTGTGATGACATTTCCAAGTTAGAGGATGTGTTGTTAATGAGTTGGCAGGGAAACTGGCATTTTCCCAAACAATAAATAAAGTGGGTGTGGGTTTCTGCTGCCTCTAATTGGCATTTTGCTGCCAATTTACCTCGCTTGAAGTCCAGGAAAAACCAGCGGTAACAAAAGTAGAAGTGAGTGAAGTCACCGTTCTGGTGCATCAGCTCAAACAGCTCAAAGTCCAGGATCTGCACAAAGACAGGGATCAGGGCAGATTCAGGAAGACAAACAGTGACTGTGATTGTGAGTGAGAGCTTTCACTGTTTCACTGTTGCTGTCTCACCTGGATGAAGGATCACATGTTGGAAAAGTGAGAATCCATGGCTCCTCCATGTGGGAAGTTCTGATTCATTCTCTTCATGAGCTCAGTGAAGCAGCTATAGGCCATGGCCTCTGTGAAGTGGAAACACACAGAAAGAAAGTCAGTGGGAGGGAAATCCTGAGACTTTCCATCAATAACTGTAAAGATACACCACATGTCAATAAAGGATGGAAAATAGAATGAGTCAGCCTGTTGAGTCACTGAAATATTTCTATTTTGATCCGGGTCACGGCACCAGTTGAAAGATTCTTTTGTCTGTGCGAGGTGTCTTCAGGCAAGGAATGGAAGCAGCCGGTAGATGGTCGATTTGTTTTAATAGCAAAACATCAAGCAAAACAGGTCCAACAATAAAGCAAAATAAAAAGACTGGATAAGTATTCAAGGAAATCCCGTACAACAGTTGTTAATATGCAAATCCTCTCAAGTATAACTTCCTAAGAATAAATTCCAAGGTATCATTAGTTGTTTACGCTTATATACCTGTGTGGGGAGAGTGGTTTTCGACTTCCTGTGTGTGTGTTTAAATCTTGTAGGCAAATGAAAGAGAGAGGCTAGGCCTCTTGTGGCCAATCATATTATTGTACTTGTAATATGGTAATGCCTGCAGTCGCCACTATGTGGCGCTGTTGTTTTATGATTCAGCAGTGTTGGAGGCCATGTTTATGGACCTTTTGTTGCTGAGATCAAAAGGAATGGATGGATCTGGGGTTCCCTGTGAATGTGGATTGGGAGGTTTCCCATTGTTCCCAGGGAGTAGAGGTGTTTTAGAAAGTTGGTGTGAAGAGAATTTGGGGAAATTCTCTTTGAATGTGTGGGGCTATGTGACTGTGTGTGCTCGGGAAAGCCTTTTGGTGTCTTAGCAGCTTTCTGATGCAGACCTAACCAAATGTGAAAACCACTGAAATCTAACAGTCACCGTCATCTAGAATGACGAGGAGTGGGGCCAAAAGATCACACATGCCCTGCATGTAACCGATGTCCAGATGCCTCCAGACATAGCTGTGAGCAGAAGATGAAGAAGGATTAGAGCGGCACTTAGACTATATATGAGTCTGAGCGAAAATACATAATTTTCAGGAATAAATAGTGTCAGAAGGAAACAATCTGTAGTCTAAAGTTTTTACACAATTATGTAAACTGTTAAACTGTGCCTTTTGTTTCTTTCCATGCCTAAAATATCACTACACATGCTATGCAACAGGTCAACAGTTGCTCCTGGAACCATATACACTTAAGCCCAAAATTATTCATACCCCAGTCAAATACAAAGAATTTCTTATTTTTTTCAGTTACATATTAGTATTTCACTTCAGATTTTACTTAAATAGGACACACAAGAAAGTCTGAAGCCATAACCAATTTATTTAAGATAGAAAGTGTAAACAAACATCTTTAACAGGGTGAAAACAAAAAATCACACTGTCCACAAATTATTCATACCCTGTCTCAATAATCAATTGCAAACCCCTTATTTTATAATTATTTATATTTAAATTGATACTTATTTTTATCACATTGTTAGATTTCAGTGGTTTTCACATTTGGTTAGGTCTGCATCAGAAAGCTGCTAAGACACCAAAAGGCTTTCCCGAGCACACACAGTCACATAGCCCCACACATTCAAAGAGAATTTCCCCAAATTCTCTTCACACCAACTTTCTAAAACACCTCTACTCCCTGGGAACAATGGGAGATCTCCCAATCTACCTTCTCACAGGGAACCCCGAAGCCATCCATTCCTTTTGATCCACATGACCACCTGTGGTTGACTGGACTTTATGGCTCGGCCCCCTTCCCCTTTGGTATACCCCACCCGGTACAACCA